AATCAACATTCATTTTAATATATTTTTAAGTAAAAAATATACTTAAAGAATCTTTTCATAATATTCTTTAACAATATTAATGATCTGGATTAAAATGTATGTTTTTCAAAATGAAAATGGTATGTGTGTAACTAAGGCAAAAGAGAAGGGTAATTACAATATTTTACTACAATATAATAATAACTAAAGTATATATTTAGTATTTTAACTTTAACTTTATATAAAAGTTCAATTTAGTTCTTTAATTTTAAAAAGTATATTTTTAATTTTTTAACTCTAAAATTGTTATAAAAAAAAGATAATATATTAAGTTTAATTTTTAAAACAATCATTATCATAATAAAAATTATCATTTAAGCATACGTTTAAGGTTAAAGAATCAAAAGTATATCTTTTTAAAGTTAAGTGACTAAATTAAAACATTATATAAGGTTAAAGAATTAAATATATACTTTAATCTATAATAATAATAATAATAATAATAATAATAATAATAGAAAAAGGCATTTTACAATAAAATAATAAAAGACATTTGATGTTGTGTCCCTGCATGATGAACGGAACACAACTGCACGAGATCATGAAATTATATTCAATAGAAAGCAAGTAAACAATAGAATATCAGCCGCTGTTCATATATAAAAGCATCCCTAAATATAATTACGAGCGCCTTCCACATAAACAGATTCGTGTACAGCTATAATCTTCTTTTCTCATAAATATATATATATATATATATATAAATGTTACTGGTTTTTCCAGTTTTTACTGGTTCATTCCGAGTTGCTCTGGGTTGATTGGGGGCTGGTTTTTAAACTAAATCAGACCGAACCTCAGACCGGTTTACTAGTTTTTTGGTTGAACTGGCTAGGCCGGTCTGGTTTTTTTTTCTTTGATTTTTCTTAATAAATATTAATATTAAAAGATAAATTAGAGATTTATTATAACAAGGGTAAATTAGGAAACAATATTCATTTTAGTATACTTTTTCCTTAAAAAACTATACTTAAAGAATCTTTTTTTAATATTTTTTAACAGTGTTAATGGTTTGGACTAATATATATATATTTTCAAAAACGAAGAGGTGTGTGTAATTAAGACAAAACATAAGGGTAATTAGAATATTTTACTACAAAATAATAATAACCAAAGTATATATTTAGTCTTTTAACTTGAATTTTATACAGAGTTTCAATTTGGTCTCTTAACTTTAAAAAGTATATTTTTAATTCTTTAATTCTAAAATTGTTAACAAAAATGATAATATTAAGATTTAAATCTCAATAAAACATTATCAAATACTAATATATTAAGTTTAATTTTTAAAACAATCATATAAAAGAATTCTGGATGATGCCCAAAGCTCCAATGCAATTTGTTTCTCTGTTGGCCTTTTGTTGCTGTCATCTAATATTATTGACAGAAGTGATGTTGGCTAAATTGTGGCACTTTTGTCTTCAGCTTCGAGGCTTCAAGTCTGCGTTGTTGTTTAGATTCTGTATTTGTTTCTTTTTCGAGTCTCTATTATGTTCTTTTGTTTTTTTTTTTTGAGTCTTTTAGTCTATGTATGTTTTTTTTTATAAAAGTTTTGAGTCTCTATTTGTTTTCCGTGTTGCTTTGTCCTTGTGTTTGTAATTGTTTTGTCGGGAGTCTGTTGTAATTTTTTTTATTGTTAATGAAATAAAAAATTTTTGCAAAAAAAAAATGTTTTAATTTTAAATTAAGGATATTTTTCTTCAAAACACAAGTCTTTGAATAAAATATGGTTATAATATAAACTTGAAGATAAATAAGGTCACTTACGTAGTTAATAAATTTCAGTTCTAAACTAACAGTTTTATATTTCCAAAACACTGTTATAATAAGTCTTTGAATAAAACTTAATTATAACATAATTTTTACAATTAACATGTTTTATTTCACAATTAATATTTTTCAATTCTAAATTCACAATTTTTTTTATCTTTATAACATAGTTGCAATAAGTCTTTAAATAAAACTTGATCACAATATAATCTTAAAAATTAACATGTTTTATTTCATAATTAATACCTTTCAATTTTTGATAAATAATTTTTTGTCTCCATAACATACTTGTAATAATTCCTTAAATAAAATTTATCACAACATAATCTTAAAAATTAATATATTTCATTTCGTAGTTAACCTATTTCAATCTTAAATTAATAAATTTTTGTTTGAATGAAACTATTAGGATTAAAAAAGAAGGATTCGATATAAAAACAAATTTATTGTTACCTCCTTGGTCAATTTTTCAACTTTATAATAGTAAATATCAAGTTTTTCTTGTTTAGAGATCTTACGCAACATAGGAATGATAGAAAATCCTTATCCCTTTAAATTTCCAATAAAATGAGTATTAGAGTCATTTCATAAGATTTTTAAATTCTTTTTTGGATTATGTGATCTAATTAAAAATTTAACAAATTTAATAATCCAAATAAAAATTTATGTTATTTAAATATTTTTTTAAGAAAATTTTCCTTATTAGCATTTTAACTGGCCAACTTAGTTTAAGAATACTATGAACTAAGGTTGTTAAACTCGCAAGTTTAAACAAACTCGTGATAATAATGTAAACTCGGATTATAAACTCAAATTATGAACTCGTAAGAGTTTACTTTTATTAATAAACTGATATTAAAAGTATATAATCAAATAATTAATATATAAAAAATGAGAACAATTTCATTTAAATATATTTTAAATTTAAATAATTAAAATTATATCTATCAATGTTTATAATTTATCATATTCAACAAAAAAATTTCTATAAAAATTATATATAAAGTCACTAAATATAATCAAATTAAAAAATTTAGCATGAGTTTAAGAACAATTTGACACAATTTTGTAAACTAAAAGTATAAAAACGATAAACTCGGTAAATGAACTCGTAAGTTTAACCGAGTTTACAGTTATTACGAGTTTATGAATGAGTCGACATAATTTTGTTAACTGAAAATATGAAAACGTTAAACTCAAAAAATCAACTTAGAAGTTAAATAACAATGCTCTGAACCCATAATATGGGATGGGAGCAGCCGCCCGCCCCTTCGTCCAAAACTATGCCATTTTGGGCGTAAAATGGTGGGTGCTAATCACCTTTTTCTTTTTAAATGGCATTTAGTATATTGAAGAGTGTTTCCATGCTATCCAATATCCCTTCACCCCCCCCCCCCCCAAAAAAAAGAAAAGTACTATCCAGTATCCTCAAATAAATTTTGGTACGCTCGCCACTTTTCACTTTTCAAGAGCACCTAATATTCTAAAATAATTTTTGTACAGTTAACATTCAAAAATATAAATTTTGATAATTCAACACTTTAAAATATTTTTTTAATAATGCCTAGTATTTTCAATTATTTTTCTTAGTCATAACAAGCACCTTAAACTTAGGAACTAAGTGCTACTCCCGACATATTTTAAAAATTAATGGGGAAATCACAAATAAAGACCCTCGAATTAGCAAAATCACTCTATGGTCACCTGGATATGCTAAATTACCATGAGGGACCCGGTCTCAAATTGCAAATAGCAAATGTTGGTGAAAAGACGAAATTGCCCCTCAGTCAATCAGATTCATTAATGAAGGCTGAGACAAACAATGTGATCGTGGAGAGCTTGGAGGAGAAGATTGGTAGTGCACATGGTTGAGAATCAAGTAAGTAATGCTTGTAATGTTTCTAAGTATACTCTTCTTCTTCTCTACCCTGTAAGACCGAGGAATGTGATGTTGTTCTTGAATGTGGTGAGTGGCATTGTGGGTTGTTGGGTGATAGGTATGGAGGGAGTGAGCGGTGGAGTTGATCATGGAATAATACTGTTTAAGGAGGGTTCGGTTGGGTTGAGATTCAAAATATTAGTCTTTGTAGTCAGATTGTTGACCTGTGATTTTCATGACGCAGGTTGCCACTGATCTCTGTTAGGAATATCACGAATGGGAGAGTAGGGGAGGGGAAATGGAAGGAGGTAATAATTATTAGTTTGAGTATAAAGTTAATGGTGGTGCAGTGGGGGGAGAGGAGTAAAGATCTTGTCATTTAGAATGTTCAACTTGTAAAACCCTAATGTCAAGTGGGGAAGAGAAGAGTTAGTTGGTCTTGATTTGTAAATGCAAATTTGATTGAATAAAAGTATAGTGAAGCTAATATATTTTTTTATATGTAAATTGTTGTTCCAGGTTAGGATGACAAAATGAACTGTTACAATGGGTCAAGCTGTTGGAAGGAATTGTTTTGTTTTTTCCATGTTGGTGGGTATTTTGAAAGAAACAGTGAAGGTGAAGTTAAATACGGTGGAGGGAGTGTGAGAGCAAGCAGCATAAAAGAAGGGATAACACTGGAGGAATTAAAAGGAACAATATCACAGTTGGTACATAATGATGCTAAAGGGTGCGAAATTAAGTACACGGTTAAGTTTGCTGAGGGCACACTGGTTGATCTTTATGATGAAGGTGATATTTGCAATATGTTTAGATATAACGATAGCAGTGCTCATTTGTATGTAGCAGCGAAAGGGAACCAGAAGGAAGGTGGAGCAGTGAATGATGGAGAAATGTAAGTGGTTAAAGTTTTGCAGTTGATAGTTATTGTTCGGTAATGGATTATTGTTAATACCCAAAGAAATGTTGTTATCATGTGCACTGCGCAGCAGTAGAAAGTTGTTATTTGGTAATGAATTGTTGTTAATTTAGATATAAATCTTGTAATTAAGGTAATGAAGTTGCGGTTGGAAGTTGTAATTTGGTAATGAGTTGTTACTAATTTCCATTCAAATGTTGTTATATTGCTTAGTTTGTTACAGTAGTAAGTTGTTATTTTATAATGAATTGTTGATATTTCCCATACAAATCTTGTTATTATGCTAACTTTGTTACAGTAGAATGTTGTTATTTGCTAATGTGTTGTTGCTAATTTCTATTCGAACATTGTTATTATGGGTGTAGGGGTGAGAATTTGTTTGGGCTGTCGGGAGAAATGATTGAAGGTGTGGTGAACCTTGGTGATAACTATGAACCACTCATTGTTGACTATGGTGCTGAATGCCTAACGTATGAAGGAGGGGGTTTAAGTCAGACAAACTTCAGTGACAGTTCAGGGAGTGAAGGGACATTGAGGGGTAATTTGAATTGCATGAAATGGGTTGGAGTTTTTGCAGGAGTGGGGCAATATATTCCACATGCCCAAGCTTTTAGGGAGGCTGTGTACAGGTTTAGTATTGCACAGAAGTTTGCAACGACATATGTGAGAAACAGTAGGGAGAAGATGAGTGTGAGGTGTAAAGTGGAAGGGTGTCCATGGAAGATTTGTGCAAATGCTGTTGGGAGGGATACTCTTTTATTACGCGTGACCACATTCGTTAATGAACACATTCATTCAGCGCAAGATAACCTAGATGTCACTTTTGCTGGCAATGCTGCGTTGACGTCATCAATAATACTTGAGGAGATAAGGAACCACACCAGAAATAAGGAAGACACTGGAAAGGGAATATGGTGTGAGGCTAACATATGCTCAAGCTTACAGAGCAAAGGAAAAGGCCATGGAACACATACATGGGAAACCGAAAGAATCCTATATGTTCATACCATGGATATGCCAAAGATTAAAGGAAACTGATGATAAAACAGTTGCTGAATGGGCTTCCATTGGTAATACATTTGAGTGGGTTTTCATTGCATATGGTTCGTGTATTGAGGGTTTTTTGAGTGGTGCAAGGGCTATATTATATGTTGATGGAACTCATTTAAGTGGTCCATATAAGGGGACACTACTCTCAGCGTCAGGATATGATGCAGATAATGACTTGTTGCCTTTTGCAATAGCAGTGGTGAAATCAGAGAACCTTGATGACTGGACTTGGTTTTTGTTCAAAATTAAAGAAATTGTTGGTTCGGTGCAGGTGACAATTGTGTCAGACCGACACAATGCCATAATAGGAGCTGTCCAAGCAATATTTGGAGGTGAAAGACATGCGTATTGTTATAGGCATGTGAAGGAAAACTTCAGCGCTGAACAAGTGAAAGTAAACAGAGGTAAAAGGACAAGCTAATGGTCAAAAGAAGATGCATTAAAGGTTCTTGATAGAGTAGCTTATGCAAGGGTTGATAGTGACTTTGATAATGCAATGGCAGAGCTGAGAACTATGTCTCCTGAGTTACATGATTGGGTTATCAATCAAGGTGATGTGAATAGGTGGGCAATGAGCAAGTTTCCATTTAAAAGATGGGACAATATAACAACCAATATAGCTGAGTCTTTCAATTCTTGGATGGTGAAGGAGAGAAAGCATAATGTGGTGCAAATGATCCATGAGCATCGGGAGAAAGTAGCAAGGAAGATGCATGCATCATATATGTGTATGAGTAAGTGGAGGAATTGTGTTGGGCCAAAAACCGAGGCAAAGGTTCTGGAGAATGTGTATTTCAGTAGGTATATGAGCTGTGACAATTATGGAGGTGGAAGACTGTGTGTACATACATCTCGTGGAGATCAAAGAGTAGACCTTGGTCTACACCAATGTAGTTGTCTTGGTTGGCAAATGTCAGGAATTCCATGCTGCCATGCTTGTGCAGCCATTAAGACTGTGGGGGGAAATGTATATGAATATGTTGAAGATTGTTACAAAATTTCAGCACAGGAGAAAATATATGGCAGGAGCATGGTTCCAGTGGTAACAATCGATATGCCTAACCCAAATAACTATAGGTTTGAGAATCTTGTTGAACAAACCCTGCTTTTACCACCAAATACAAGTAGGCCTCCTGGAAGACCAAGGACTAAACGGCAAGAATCACAATTCCAGAACAAAAAAGTCTACCATTGCACCAGATGCCACCAACCTGGACACACAAGGAGGAGTTGCAAAAATCCCAACCCATTTTGAAGTTCATTTCTACAAGCGACAACTAATTTTTTGGTGTATATACGCTCCACTCTTCTTAATTTTTTTGGGAGAAGGGTGTTGCTAGTTGCATAGCTACACAGCTATTTTTGCAAGTAATATGTTTGCTGACAAGGAAAAAAGAAGTCAACGACGTTGTGAATGTCTTTTTGTTATTGACTATTGCAAAATCTGGTTGTTGTAAACGGACCTCTTACTTTTTGCTAAATGACATTGTATTGCTGTAAATTCCCTTGCTTGTATTGTAAATGCAGACTGCTTACTTGTTATATCAGCAAATAGAGGTTGTTGTCAAACCACATGTGCTTTGTGGTTATTTGACTTAGTATTGCTGTAAACTCCTTTGGTTGTATTGTAAATACAGACTGCTTACTTGTTATATCAGCAAATAGAGGTTGCTGTCAAACCACCTGTGCTTTGTGGTTATTTGGCATACTGATATTGCCAATTGGTTAACAAAACTTGTTATTTCGCAAAGTGAAGTTGTCACTAGGTAAACAAAAGTGGAAAGGCTGTCATTTAAACAGGAAAAAAATGAACTTCGCCGCTTCCACTTCCGAAGTTGTTATTTCGCAAAGTGAAGTTGTCACTCGTCAAACAATAGTAGAAATACTGTAACTTCATTCGAAAAAATTGAAGTTCATGTATCGCTTAACCGGAGTTGTTATTTAGCATATTGAAGTTGTCAGATGTTAAACAAAAGTGGAAATAGTGTCATTTCATAAAAAAAAGGTACTTCATATATTGCTTAATGGACTTGTTAATTGGCATATTGATGTTGTCATACGTTAAAGAAAAGTGGAAATCGCATTACTTGAACACAATTTCAATGATGTCAATAAAAATGTCATTTCACCATTACTAATTGTCATAACTGGGTAGCAGTTAGGCCAGACAACAAGTTCACTACACATAATGATAACGCAGTAACATTATCTACAGTCAATGTCCTTCATGGCCCAAATTCTTTTTCTATAGGGACTTTCTCCTCCTTTTGGACGTTCGCCCCTTCTGTGGATGTGGAATAAGATTCAGCGCATCCTCACGGCATTCATTGTTATCATGGTTCACCAGCCACCACATCAGATCACGCCGAAAAGCTGCCACATCTCCCTGCAAAACAGATTCAACAACAAGTTAATCTTACTTTACCCCTTTACCAGTCACAACAATTAAGCAAACCACATCACCTGGGTGTATTCTAGTGGAAGATTGGGTTCCCATCTGCTGAGCCATATTAGGACATGCACCCCACAGTCCCTCCTAGGAACAACACCACCATCACAGTTTAACAATTCGAGAATAAATATAGGAAATCAGCAAATTACATGTGCAGTGTATGTATACTCACAAATTACTCTGTTGAGGTACATCAGGCCGCACAATTTCCAAATTTGGCATTTTCTCAGTCAAATCTGGCCTAACCATGCCAATAATGTCGTGGAACCTTTCTCTCTACACATATATCAGATATTCATCAACATCACTATAATTTCAGACAATAATAATACAATGTAATATGCCCAGGTGATTCTTACACATCCTGCTATGGCCATTTCCTGAGGGTCATAGGTGACTGCTTGCTTCTTCTTAGTTGTGGTCTTCTTAGACTGAACAGTTCCTCGCATGGAATCCAGGACATAGAACTTCATGGTGTTGGGTTCAAGGGCAAAGCAAAACCAGTGCTCACCAACAAGTGCAGGACCCATAACCAAGTCACAGTCACTTATGTTGTACCCGACAAATTGAGGAATTATTTGTCGTGCATGGTAGTTAGGGTCCCACCGAGTTGGGTCACGGATCATTAACTCCTAATAAAGAACACAAATTGATTTTGTCAATTTGCAATTAGTTTTTTAGACGGTTATTTGCCTTAACAGTGTTGTTACTTTATATACTACACTTGTCATTTGCCTTTGAGGACTTGTAATTTTCATATACAAACTTATCATTTCACAAACTAATGAAGAAACCTCACCATGAAGTCCGCATCAAAAATATGCCTCCTTACACGCCCTTCCACAGCCTGTTGCTCATCCACCACGGCCTTACAAACTAATGACATGACCCTGTTACTAACTCTGTTATTTCCCCCAAGAGAATGCAGCAAGCGTCGGGTAATATCTTCATCATACATTTTAATCAAAGGACTGACAATGGTTGAAGTGAGTTAGCATATGGGTTATGTTAACAAGTGATAACAAAACCCCATCACAAAAGCTGAGTATCACAATACTTACTAGTCGCCTTCATCACCTTTCACACTTCGGCTTAGGGGTGAGCAACAAACCCATTACCCGCTAGCCCGCCCATAACCCATGAAATTTTTGCCCATTTAAGCCCACCCAATTAGCCCAAATAAGAGATTATAAACGGGCGGGCTTAAATGGGCGGGGTAGCCCATTAAACGGGTTGGGCTATGGGCAAGGTATTGGGCTGCCCATACCCGCCCATTTAAGTTTTAAGTTTTTAAAAATATTTTTATTCTTCATTTAATTGATGATATTGTTTCTCATTCATATTTTATCAAACATTCATACTTGTCTAAGTTTTTATTTTATCCTTTAGGTAAAAGTTGGAACTTTCAAAGTTTATGAGACTTTATGATTGGTGACTATTTTTATGATTTTATCAGACTTTAATTGTTTGCGAATCTAAGTGAGGTTGTGTGATTGAATATGGTTGATGTTATTTCATATTTGATTTGCTATTTGGCATGCAAAATTTATTGACAGCTTCATAAGGTTACATATATAAAATAATTATACTGAAAAAAAAATTTTAAAAAAAATGGGTTACCCCATAACCCGGTCAGCCCAAACGGGCTGCCCCGTAGCCCATTTAATATGGGCTAAATGGGCTACTACCGAGTTATGGGTTAGCCCATTCCCATTTATGAATAAATGGGCGAGCTATGGGTTAGCCCACCTCGCCCATTGCTCAGCCCTACTTCGGCTGACAATGGTGAAGAAAATGTCTTTATCCTCTGCAGGCCTCTTCAACCTTGTTTGTGCCTTCAACTCCAACCAAGGAGACTTAATTTTGTTGAAGTGAACCCTGCTAGATCTCCTTACTTGTTGTGCCTGCACACCTTCAGCTGCTGTCAAAGGTTCCACCCTGATGGGGGTTTGCCTCTCAACAGGGTCAACATATTTGACAATTGCTAGGGGGGATATAGTGACGGCTCTGTCACCCTCCGCATCATCACCTTCAACATTAGATGACAGGTTTATGGGGGTAGTAGGCGTGGGTATGTCACCCTCTATTTCATCATTGTCCTTCTGTGCACTCTGTCCCTCATCCTTGTCCTGACTATCTTCATCATTCTCTCCATCATCCTTTTCCTTGCCTTCCTCCTCACTTGTCCCATCATCACTCCCCCTGTCACCTTTCTCCTTGTCCTCCTCCTCCTCCTCTCTTGTCTCATCATCACTCCCCTCGTCATCTTTCTCCTTCTCCTCACTACTCTCACCATCACTCCCTCCATCATTCTTCTGCACAGCTTCACTAGTCTCACCAGCATGCTGTCTCTCCTCTTCATCGTCATCTTCAGACCCACTAACAATTGATGCAAGTGTCTCAGCAGGAGCCTTTCCTTTTCTCTTCCCATCTGCCTCTCTTGGAATGTGCACCTTCAACAGCTCCTCATCTACCATATTCATCAGCCTCTGATGGCTTTCTTCTATCCTCTTCATTAATCGTGCACGCAACTGCTTCAGCTCCTGCATGACAATGGCGTTTATCAATTTACTAGCAACATAATTATACCACATCATGATCTCACTATTGCAGATGACAAGCTCACTTTACCCAATGACAAGTTAAATATTATAAATAACAACTTCAGTATATGAAATTACAAGCTTACTACACTATAACAAATTACAACCTCTCCCTATTGCGAATAACAAGTTCATCAGTAGTATAAATAACAACTTTGGTATGTTAGATAATAACTTTACTATATCAAATGACTAGTTCAGTTTAGCCAATCACAACTAATAAATTATAATTAGCAACTTCGATACATCAAATAACAACTACATTGTAACAAATGACAGGTTCACTTGACCCCATCACAACTCAGGCATAATCAATAACAACTTTATCAAATAACAACCCAAACCTGAACTTTACCGAATGACAAGTTCACATTACCCAATCACAACTTTGGTACCGTTTTTAACAGGTTAAGTTTATCAAGTAACAATGTCAACTATAACAAATGACAACTTCACTAAACCTAATCACAACATAAGTTTTATATATACCAAGTCAATTTATCAAATGACAACGTAACTATCACAAACAAGAAGTTCACCAAGAATATCACTCTACCAAAGATATACATACCGGGTCCAGAGAATCAACATTTATCCTCTCGTCTTTGCCAGACACAACATCACTCCCTTTCTCACCATACAACAGCCTCCTAACGCTCTTCCTCTCAGTATTTGCCAATTCTTTGATCTTCTCATCTGTCCAGTATTGGATAGCACTGGTGGAGCCTCGCTGTGAACCTTGAATGAGGTTAAAATGCTCACCGAAAAAAAGCTGCAACACCACATATCATCACCAATTACATTGTTCATATTGCCAATAAAGTATTGCACAGTGAGAAACAAAATAGTCATACCAGAAGCAAGTATACGCAGCCACCAACAGTACTGCTCCCCTGCCCATCATTACCCTGTCTATACAGCTTCACAAAGTCAGCCATTTCTTTCCATAGGTCCTCCATAACATGTGTTGCCCAATCATACTTTCCAAAGTCATCCATCGTGGAACGCATGACTCTTACCAGCCGCTCACTCACTTCTGAGCTAGATGACGGACATAGAAAGGTACCCAGCGTGTATAGGACAAACAAGAATTCAAATCTGTGATCTTCCTCCCCAGAAATAATGTCATCTAGTATTTTGCTGAATGGCACTCTCCGATACTGATTCTTCAAGTTCTTGTACATTTCATCATCCTCCGAAACTTCAATTTTAATCTTCTCCCCACCATGGCGTATTCCTAGGAGCTTGTCAACATGTTTTGCTCCTATTTCCTCAGTTTTCCCCCGTATTGTAAATTGATGTGTTGGTGGGTCATATGATCTTAGCATAGTCACAAGGAGATCGCGGGGAAGTCTCTTCAATCTAACCTTCAACAAGCTTCCAAATCCTATCCTCTCCACCCTATCCCTTAACTCATCATTATTATTCACAAAGTGCAGTAATTTCTTAAAACCTTTCAAGGACACTCGGGTTAAAAATGATGGTACATATTTCTTTTTCTTCTCCTCTTCAATCTTTTCTGGCCTTCTTTTCTTCGCCTCCTCTGTGTACCTCTTCCTCTCCTCATCAGACAAAGCTCTCCATGCCTTTGACACAGCGTCTCTTTTTTGTTTGCCTCTGATATCACTATCACCTAATGTTGCCAAATACTCCCTTC